GGGCCACGTGTGCGCGCCCGGATAGCGCGGTGGACTTCCGATCCGGCCATCTTGTGGCCCGGTTGCGAAGCGTAAGATGACAGCCCCGGGCCCGCGGGTCGCTCACCCTGGGGCTCTTTGGTTTTCTCTTCCCCGCCCCCCAGGCTTCTCACGGCACTCAGCAGCAGCCTTGCTGTAACCGACCAAGACACCTTCGAATCCCGCACCTTACTCGATTCCAGCGTAGCCTTACGACATGGCCGAGATGAGCTTCCTGCACAGCGAGGTGTTGGCGGGGGACTTGATGTCCCCCTTCAACCAGTCGGGTTTGGGGGCTGAAGAGAGCCTGGGTCTCTTAGACGACTACCTGGAGGTGGCCAAGCACTTCAGACCACATGGGTTCACCAGGGACAAAGTTAAGGCAGGCTCCTCGGAATGGCTGGCAGTGGATGGCTGGGTGGATGCCTCCGACTACGGCAAGGGTGAGTAGCCATCTCTTCTGGGGTCTGGCAGGCTCCCCTCCGGGTGGCGTTTCCGGGGAGCTCAGCGGCCAGTGTCTGGTTTCCTTGCAGAGGATGCCTTCTCCGGGACAGACTGGATGGTGGAGAAGATGGACCTGAAAGAGTTTGACTTCGATGCCCTGCTGAATCTGGGTGACCTGGAAACCATGCCCGAAGAGCTTCTGGCCACGTTGGATGACACCTGTGATCTCTTTGATCCCCTGGTCCAGGAGACTAATGCTAAGGAGCCCCCCCAAGCAATGAACCCAGTTGGCCATCTCCCAGAAAGTTCGCCCCACACCGACCAGGTTGCCCCATTCACCCTCTTTCAGTCTCTTCCAGAGTCCCCAGGGGCCCTGACTTCCATTCCAGATCATTCTTTTAGTTTGGAGCTAGGCAGCGAAGTGGACATCTCTGAGGGGGACAGGAAGGCTGACCCTCCCTCGTTGGGCGCAGTAGCCCCTCCATGCATCAAGGAGGAGGATGCCCCCTCAGATAATGACAGTGGCATCTGCATGAGTCCAGAGCCCTACCTGGCGTCTCCCCAGCACAGCCCCCCCACCTCTGGAGACTCCCCAAGTAGACTGCTGCCTCCACCTGCCTTTGGTGGCTCTGCTCGCTCTAAGCCTTATGACCCTCCTGGAGAGAAGGTAGTAGCAGCAAAGGTCAAGGGAGAGAAATTGGATAAGAAGCTGAAAAAGATGGAGCAGAACAAAACCGCAGCCACCAAGTACCGCCAGAAGAAGCGGGCCGAGCAGGAGGCCCTGGCTGGTGAGTGCAGGGAGCTGGAGAAGAAGAATGAGGCGCTGAAGGAGAGGGCTGACTCCCTGGCCAAGGAGATCCAGTATCTGAAAGACCTGATTGAGGAGGTCCGAAGGGCCCGGGGAAAGAAGACCACCCCCTAGGCAGGGTAGTCCGGGGCTTGGGATTGTACATAGGTCTGTCCGGAGCAGAGTTGTAATAAATTATTTTGTGGTCGCAAGTTGTGCTGCCAGTGTGCTGTGTGCTTTCCTGTGGATGCCCATTTCCTGCCAAGGGAGGAGGGGGTGGGAAGGGATCCTTTGGCCACTAAACTCAATCCTGCAGGTGTGGGTTTTAAGCTCATGAGAGCCAGTGGTGTCCACTGTACCCTTATTTGGTCGGGCTCAAGCCTAACAATACATAGCTGTTTGGGTATTCGTCCCAGAATTCAAAGGGAGCTCCTGAAGTAGGTGAGTAGGCAGGTCCTCTTGCTAACTGCTGCCATCAGCAGCCATGTAGTCACCCATAAGGTCACAGCAAGCATCTGAGGTTAGTGCCCCTTAAGAGATGAGCGCTGTAGGTGCTCACTGAAGCAGACCTGTAATCAGTTACCTTCTGTAGTCATTTCTTGGACACCTGACTCCTGAGCACAATTCCCCCATAAGCCAACCTCCAGAAGCTCTGGTGAACCACCCAGTGTAGGTCCCCTGGACTTCCTGCCTGGCTTTGCCAAAAGCAAGGGCTGAATCTTGTGGGTGAACTCACCCAGACAGCCATTATTCCTGTCATCAGGGCAGGTCTCCCCATGTCCTGAGATTTAACTTCTAGGGGAACCAGCAGGGTGTCCTGGTGGGAGCCAAACATGGTGAAAGAACACTGCTCACCAAGGCACTGATGTCAAGTGCTGTTGAGTTCCCAAGGGAAGGGAAGCACCGCCCAGCCCTGCGCCATCATAGAAGTGGAGTGAGTGGGCTGGGCAGGGCCCGGATGACCTCATCTTACTGGAGCGTGTTCTGGCACAGTCAGTGAAAAAAGCCAGGCTAGAGCTCATGGGCTGGCTTCGTCTGTTGGCTCTTGGAGGGCCTGAAGACAAGGAAGCTGCAGGTCAAGTCTCACATGACACTGCCGGGCCAGCAGGGAGCAATCCTAGAGAGCCAGCTGTGACTTAACAGCATGGAGGATCGGGAATGGGCCCAGGGGTCATTAGGGACTTTCCTCCCCTGAGATTCCGGGATTCCCCTGGAGCCATGGGAGAAAGGTTCTAGAACCAGTCTGATTCCTTTCCAGTTTGATTGTGTAACTGGGCAAGTTACTAACCTTTTCTGCTTCGTATCAAGGGGTGTCTGTGCCTGCTTCCTTTCCCGTGTGCTCCCCACATCTGCCCCAACTCCTTGTGCTCATCCTTCAGTACGATCCTGGAGAAGCCCACCTGACTGCTCCGAAGTCACTTTCCTGCTGTCACCATTACCGAGGCAGCATGAACCCAGCCATCGGAAGGCTCACCCCATCCTTCGGCTCAGAGGACAGACAAGCATTGTTGCTTATCCAGTTGGGTGTAGATTCAAATCTAGGTAGCCTTGACTCCTGGGTGCCCACTTTCAGAGCTCCCCACAGGCAGCCATGGGACCCTGAAGGCGTTTCGTAAAGCTGGGTGTTCCAAGCATTGGATTCTGCACTGCCCTCAGGGCAGCTGGCCCCTCAAGGGATCAGAGGCTGGAGTGCTGAGGACGGGGTAGGGGAGACAGCAATGCTGGCCAGGCCACCAGTCACCCAGGGTCTGTGCTTCAGAGACAGCGACCCCCCTCTCCAGTGGCAGTGGGGAAATGGGCCCTGAGGCTGGTCCCATCCCAAAACAGGCCATAGACCAGAGCGGTCCCCTGGCCACCTCCCTGCTCCAGTGCCGTCTCCCCAAAGATGTCAGATTGCTAACCACAAGGTTGGCAGTTCAAATCCCCCAGTGGCTCCTCCAGGTTAGTCTCAGAAACTTCAGTCAGAGTAGACTGAATGGGAGCTCCCGCACCCCCCTCCCTCCACACAGGTCTCATGTCATAGCAGTTGAGAACCTTCCATGACTGCTCTACTCAGCCCAGCTCCTCCGATACGTAGGTTTTTTACAAAACCCTTTTTTCCCCTTTCGCCTAGTTAGGGCATCCTAATCCTGGTGTAGTGGTTAAACTTGGGCTGCTACCCGCAAAGTCAGTAGTTTGAACCCACCAGCCCCTGGGTGAAAGATGAGGCTTTCCCAAGAGTTCCTCTTGGGAAACTCACAGGGGCAGTTCTCCCTGCCTTACAGGGGCCACTGATGGATGGCAGGGGAACCAGAGGGCGGGCGGCTTGAAGCCCCAGCAGCCCAACGCCGCCTGCGCTGAGACGACGGAAGCTGTCAGCTCCAGCCCGGGCAGTTCCATCCCGTCCCCCTTTGCGCCATCGGCCGCTGCCGACCACAACGCAGACCGTCACGTCCTGAGAGCTGGGGCGGGGGCTCATCCGCTTGAATCTGCCCATGTGCTAAAACTGAACCTCTAAATCCACGTTCCTGGCGCCCTGTCTCTCCCTTCCCCCCTCCCGGCCGGACAAGGCCACTTCCCGTTTCAGCCCGGGTTCTGGGAACCAGGTCTCATGTCATAGCAGTTGTGCCCGTGGGTTTGGCTTTGAGGACTTGGGCTCTAAAGGTGCCGCAGCCCCTCAAGTAGCAGGGCCGAAGGGCTGCTGGATGGCCCAGGGAGCCCGGGACACACGCGAGGGGGCTTTAAGGACCCTGCTCCTTAGATGGGGACAGGGAAGACTGGCGGAAGCCAGGCCTACAGGAAGTGGGGGAGGATGGGAGCCGGAAGTGGGGGTGGGTGGAGGGTGAGGCTTCGGGCAAGCCGTCTTGATAAGGCCTTTCCTGTCCCGCCCGGGCCTGGGCCCAGGCCCAGCGATGGCGGCATCTCTGTGGTCCTGCCCCGTTGGGCTGAAACTGTCCAGGGCAGCTAACAGATTCCTGAGCCCCGGAGACAGAATCTCATGGTTCAAAGCGACTGTTAAGGTGGCATGGTCACCTGCCTCACTGGGGTGCCACCCAGGTTAATATCAGCCTCCCTGGCACACTTTCAGGCAGGGCAATGGGCGTGGCCAGTGTAAGCACCTTCCCAACAGCTTGGTGACTGACTGCAGGTGTTCGAAAGAGCCCCTGGGGCTGAGGTCAGCCCTTTCTGGCTAAGCTGCTTAAAGGATGAAAGGAAGGCGGGTTGGGGGTGGGCAGAAACCTCACCCCAGTCCTTTGAACCAGTCCAGCTCAGCAGGTTTGGCTGGATCCCTCTTTCCCAGCCTAGCCACCCCCCATCCCTACCCGGGATGGGGACTACTTCAGGATCAAGGGCTGATAGCTAGGGGGAGTGATACCTGTGCTGGGTGTGAATCCCCTGGGCTGCTAACTGAAAGGTCAGCAGTTCAAAGCCATCAGCAGCTCCTGGGGCTTTGGACTCCCAGAATGATTTATACCTGGCATTGCAGGGAGTTTTCTGGGTTCAGGAAGTACAAATTACCCCCAGCTTCTGCAGGGGTGTGGGGGGGCAGTAACATGCCAGAGGACCCATCCCAGTTGTTGGCAGATGGTCCGTCCACCCTCTCCCAGACACCGCTGGAACCACCTCCGCCAGGGAGCCCGTGACTAGGGAGCTGACTCTGGCCTGCAGGTCCCTCCTCCCTGTCCTGAGGCTCGAGGCCCGGCCACGTCTTCGCTCCCTCACACCCTTGTCTTTTCCACCTGCTGTCACCGCATGGCCTGCTGGCAAGGGCCCAGCCCACCTATAAACCAGAGGCAGCTGACCCCACGTCTGCCCTGGCACAAATCTAAGTGGGGGACCCGGCTTCCAAAGGCCACTGCTCTTTCTCGTGGGCGGCAGGTTTGACCCTCATGTGCACTCCTTTGCCCTGGGCGACAGGGTTGAGGTCTTAAGAGCTAAGGTTCGTGCTGGAAGGGGGCAGGGAGGGACGGTACTTGGGAGCCTGGGCACAAGGGAGACCACCTCAAGCCAGGCCAGCATCGTACAGCTCTTGGGGTAGTATTTATTAGAACCAAGACTCCACCCAGTGCCCGCCTCTCCCCCACCGGAACCTAGGAACTGGGCTGGTTCCACAGTACACAGCCCAGGAGCTCTCCCTGAGAAAAACTAAACAAAACCAATGTTCCTTCTAGCAGCTCCGGGCTGCCGGTAAAATCCTGGCCTGGGCTTCCCGCTCACGAGCTCCGTTCCAGCCTCCACGACTCCAGCTCCGGGCCTTCCCCAGCCAGACTGGCGCGGCAGCGCCACCTGCTGGCTGCGCAGCGCACGGCAGGTTCTAATTGCCAAAGTACTCCTGCTGGAACTTCTGGAAGTCTTCCTCCGTGAACACGGTGCCCTCGGCCTTCTTCTTCTTCATCTTGGTCACAGGCCGGTCGCAGGCCTTGCGGCCCTGGTTCTGCAGCAGAATCTGGGGACAGCACAGGAATTAGGCTCCCAGGGGAGCTCAACCAGGGCTCCCCCCAATTCCCTTCCCAGGGTCACCCATCCCTCTGGCCCACCTGCTGGCAGACAGCTTCAGCCACAGGGCTTCTCCCACAGGTCAGGAACTTCAAGTTTGCTCTCAGGTGGTCTTGACCTTCACGCTTCTGGAACTCAACTGGGGGAAAGCGGGGCAGGCATTTCAGATTCACTCTCTGGAAGCCTCCTTGGTCCCCTCCTGAATGTCCCCCCACCCCAACCAGGGTAGCCATTTCATCTCTAGATTGTCATAGCCCTTGATCTTCAAATCCTCTCCACAAACTCCACTAAAGCCCTTGGGCTCATTCAACACAGAAACCCAAGCCCCGGCGAGTGACGCGCCAGGCCCACCC